CCCTTTCGCAGGCCACTTCCCTCAGGCACCGCTCACTGAAAGCCTCTCCCCTCCGCGTGCAGTGCAGACTACCCTGATCTGCGAAAGCACAACAACTGCATGGCCGAGTGCCTCACCCCGACCATCTACGCCAAGCTCCGCAACAAGGTGACGCCCAATGGCTACACCCTGGACCAGTGTATCCAGACTGGAGTGGACAACCCTGGCCACCCCTTCATAAAGACTGTGGGCATGGTGGCTGGTGATGAGGAGTCCTATGAGGTAAAACTTGGCTGCTAATTCCAGAGTGGGGGGTGGTGGTGCTCTGGGTCCCAGAGTCCTTCTCTTCTCTGTGGGGCCAGCGTTCATAAAGGGAAGCCAGCTTCAGCAGAACATCTGGAATGCTTTCTGGAACAAGAAGGTCTACAACTTCCCAGGGATAAGGCTTCCTTTGTTGCGGCTCTAGTATCCCACCTCCCGGAGCAATGAGTTACACGACAGGGCTCTCTGAGACTGTCCAGGGGATGAATTGGTACAGACAAAATCTTGTAATTTATTGGTGACACATATGCACCAAAAAGACATTAGGACATGGTGTGTTTGTGGCTAGACTTTATTGAGGAAGGAGGATGGTGTGTGTCTTTAGCTTGGGAATTGCTGATCACACAACCACTGTAGCTTAGATGACTGAGTTCATCACGTTTCTCAGAGGAATCCCAGGATCTCCGTGTCCTCATCCTTAGGGCAGAAGCACAGGACGGTCTGCTGCTAGGGCGGCTCAGTCACCATGCAGGCCTCGTCACAGAGCTACCTCTAAACCACGGCAAATGGCAGGGAGCTGAAGGCAGTTCCCTGGGAGAACAGCCACCAAGAGGAGGGACGGGGTCCTGCTGGTTAACAAGACTGGTAGTTCATTCACACAGAGCAGTGCGCTGCTCTGGGCCCCCAGAGTCTCAGACCAGAACTGGCTCCTGGGACCCCATGTGCTGCCCCACCCCTGGCCACCCACTTCCCACAGCTCCCAGAGGCAGCAGGCACTCCGTTGTCACTTCTTAACATTATCTTACCTAAAGGATATACCTGAAGTTTTTGCTTTTTAAAAAAATAGATTTTGCACAAGATAGTTTGGGCTGGGGAAGGACTGCAGGGTGAGAGGTCCTGGCTTTGCCCTGAGCGCTGCTGTGCACTTCTCTTGTAGTGCAGCTGGTTTTCTGTGAATTTACTATGTTCACACTCCTGAACCTGATCATCTCTTTGACCACAAAACCGCCTGTGGCACTTCTGCTCTGGCAGCTGCTTTCATCTTACAAAGAAAGGACTGCTGGGGAAAAACCTCAAATCCTTAAACACAAGGCTTTCTTGCTCAGTGTCATGGCAGTAAGCTTGGCAGAATCACTCACTAGGGAGGTGGCCTGTCATTGCTGTTGTTATTGGTAACCATCAATCCACCACCCCCATTTCCTGCGTGGTAGCACTGAGAACGACAGAGGAGGGCGGCAGCTTTGGCGCTTAAGGGAGGAAGGGGCAAATGAAAGGGATGACCTCTTAATAGATGACCCAATTAAAGAGGAAACAAGTGTGTCTTCCCTTCTACAGGTGTTTGCCGACCTTTTCGATCCTGTCATCAAGCTAAGGCACAATGGCTACGACCCCAAGGTGATGAAGCACTCCACGGATCTGGACGCATCCAAGGTAGGCTGCAGCCCCCTGTGCTTTCCCAGGAAGCTGGCACTCCAGAGCCTGAAATGAGGGGCACCTGCGAGGAGGCTGACTCAGCCGGGCTCAGATGCCCTCTGCAAGCTCTGGGATGGCCCTGGCAGAGCACACCCCCTGCAGGGGCAAGGAGGTCAGAAAGGTCCCCAAGTCTTTCTTTTCTTTAATCAGGACCAGAGGGTGGTGTTGGCCAGTGAGAGCTGTAAGCCTTTCCTAAAGCAGTTCCTTTTTTTCATCCTGCACCTAGTGGGGTAAAGGATTCCGGATGGCACTGCATAAAGTAGCTCGGCCCCGTATCTATGCGACCCCCACCCTGTAATTCCAACATGTGTCCAGCATGTTGTGCACAGGGTCTGAGGGCCCCCCGTCGGGGGTGCTGCAGGTCAGTGGGCTGGAACCACGGTGGTCGTGGCGGGACTGTAGTCCGCAGCTGGCGGTGCTCACCCTGGGCGCCCTCTGCTCCGGCAGATCACGCAGGGGCAGTTTGACGAGCGCTACGTGCTGTCCTCTCGGGTACGCACAGGCCGCAGCATCCGCGGGCTGAGCCTGCCGCCTGCCTGCACCCGGGCTGAGCGACGGGAGGTGGAGAACGTGGCCATCATGGCCTTGCAGGGCCTCAAAGGGGACCTGGCAGGCCGCTACTACAAGCTGTCTGAGATGACCGAGCAGGACCAGCAACAGCTCATAGACGTGAGTGGCCCTTGAACCATCTGGCTCTGCCTGGGGTGGGGTTGTGCCCAGAGCCCTCATGGGCACCGTGAGGCCTCATGGGGAGCTTGCTGGGACTTCATCCTGTTCAGTATAAGGAAGGAAAATGAGGCCTTAACACTTTAGGTCAAGCCACAGAAATGGTCTGTGGTTAAAATCTGCAGAGGAAACTCCACTATGGAGCTGGGGGGTTGGGGATCCATGGGTGGAGGTTAAATGGAAGATCCCTTTGCTTGTTGAGAATGGTCTCCATTGCCATTCCCAAAGAAAGTCCTGGAAGCTAGGAAAATCTGGAAAGGAAGTTACCGAGGTGGAAGGTCTGCCCTGAGTCCCATTGGGGCCGCTCTGGGATTTCTGCTGCCTCCATGAGTCCTCGACAGCTTCCCTCTAACACTAGGGGAGACAAGACTCAAGTCCTTCTACTTATTTTCCCTGTAGCATAGCTAAAAACGGATAGCAGTTGCAAAAGTAACTTTCACTTTAACTCTGAAGAAAAGCAGAAGCAAAGTATCTGTCGTTTTAGAAGATGTAATGCCACAAAATATGCCCCACTGCCAAACTAGATGAGCTAGCTTTGTAGTCTCTATGGGCCTCAGTCTCCTGGTCTCTGCAGCCAGCAGGCCAACCCTCTGCCTGCTCTGTTAGAGAATAAGCCCTCCTCGGCCCCTAGCAGCCACTGGTGGTTTCCAGCATAAGGCCACAAAGTCCTCTCTGGCTAATGTCTCCCACCCCTTCCACTCAGACCGTAGAAGGCCTTCCCTCTCCATATCTTTGCTTACCTCAACGTAATCAAATTTGAATACATGGTAGCCAGATTCATGTTCTTACTGTATACACATCAGTCTCTTGACAGTGATTTTGATAGGAAGAGTAGGATACTGTAGTTTAAGGCACAAGCTTGGGAGTCATACAGGTCTAGGTTTGAATCTAGGCTCTGTCACTTCCTAGCTGTGTGATACTGGGTAGGTTGTTTTCTCACTCTGAATCTGTTTTCCTCACTCATAAAATAAAATGATTATATTTGCCTCATGGTATTGTGAGGATTCAGGAAAATAAAAGCACACAGCATAGAGCCTGGCACATAGCGAGCACTGAATTAATGGTAGATATTTCTATTTGTAAACCATTATTTTACATCTCCAATACTTTTTATTGAAAGGAAGAATACTAATAAAAGCCCTGATAATGCCAGCCACATAGAGAATAGTGGCTGTGTATACGACTTTCCCGGAACGCGTCCCTCACTCACTGCCCGCTCTGTCACTGGTGCGGGTGGGTAGACATAATCCATAGTGATTAAGTATTTCCATCTGGGCTAAGCCAGTGGTTTTCAGCCTTAGCTGTACACTAGAATCACCTGAAGAGCTTTAAAAAAATCCCACTGTCCAGGCCACACCCCATAACAATTAGGACAGAATCTCTGAGGGGGCAGGAACTAGGCATTTGTATTTTTTTTAAAAGCCCCCATGTTGTTCCAGTGGGCAGCCAAGGCTGAGAACCACTGCCTGACAGACCGGGCATGTGTAGGTATGTCTGATCTCATCATTTTCTCCTTTCTGCTTTGTCCCTTTCCGCCTGCAGGACCACTTTCTATTTGATAAGCCAGTATCCCCTTTACTAACATGTGCTGGGATGGCCCGTGACTGGCCAGATGCCAGGGGAATCTGGTATGGACATAGCATTTTCACATTTGCAGTGTGTGCAGAGGATTTCCTTCAGATCACCTGCTTGTCCTAACCTGAAGTTGCTGTGACCTGCAGTTGACAGCATGCCCGGCTTGAGTTAAATGGAGGGGAGAGAGATTGTAGAAATTGTGTGTGTGTGTGTGTGTGTGATTCCAAAGTATTGTGATGTTTCTTAAGATGTGTAAGAATGTTCGCTAATTTGCGTGAATTATGCATGAGAAAAAAGACTATTTTTAAGAAAAATTAGCTTCATATTATTTGACCTCACAGAGAATGTTTCATGACATTAAAACAAAAGAGCAGAAAATGAAAAATACTGAGGACTTAAGCAAAACCCTACAAGGAAGAATGGATATCGAGTATACACGTATTTTATCTTGGCCAAAGTCCTCAGTCCACTTTGATTCCTGTACTTTGGTAGGTTATTTTGACACTCTCCAAAGGAGCTGCGCTAAGTGTGTTCATGAGCAGTTGCTCCGTGTGTGTGGACAGGCAGGATCTATGCAGCAAACATGTGTGAAATCTTCTGCACCCCAAACATCTGGGGCTGCAGGTAAAAAACTTCCTTGAAGTGCCACAAGATTTTGGTTGAGCTTATTGTAGGAGAACACTCTTGTTAGTGTCGAAGCCAAATGTTATCCATAGTTGAATTACTGCCCTCCTTGTCCAAGGACTGGGGAAGATGATATTCTTGTTGGGCAAAAACATGACATCTTTAAGCATTGGAGTTGGTCTTATTCGTCATTCTGTCACGCTAACATTATTCTGTAGTACTTGTTCAGTCACAATGAAAAACTTAGGGCCTTCTAGGAAATGAGGAAGGTGAAATGAAACAAGCTACAGCGGTAAAGGGAATTTTCATGTGTTGAAACAAATGTATTTAACACGCAACACCATATTTCTCCTTTCATTAGGCATAATTATGACAAGACATTTCTCATCTGGATTAATGAGGAAGACCACACCAGGGTAATCTCTATGGAAAAAGGAGGCAATATGAAAAGAGTATTTGAGCGATTCTGTCGTGGACTAAAAGAAGTAAGATATTACCAGAGATTTCTTAATATTCATTAAAATGAAAACACTTCTTCATTCTTAACAGAAGACACTATGGTGACTTCCAAGATGAGGCTAATTTTTTCTAGGGATCATGGCACTCTTTGAGGGTGGGGCTACCAGGGTAGTGCTTCAAAAAATAGGTGACTTTTTTTTTTTTTAAATTACTAGTAAGTTCCTATGCTTCCCTTCCCAGTCCAGAATGGTTTAGGGAAGTCTGTGGATCATTAATTATATTCCAATTTCTTTAACAGTGCTCTTGGCGATTTTAAGCATAGAGACAGTATAGGATATAACTGTTCATAAAGTAACCTGACCACAGCCTTACCTGCTGAGAATTCCTATATTCTCCTATTATTCTCCCACGAAAAATAATGAACAGCAACTGACATTCATTGAATGTTTAGTATGTGCTAGGTACTGCATTCAGTGCTTTACATGCTTCATCTAATTTAATTGGATCATTTTAATATTTGGATAGTAGTATCCTTTTCCATTAAGGAAGTAATACAAATTTGCCTAGATTTTATTCATGGCAAACATACAGTACACATGTCTCTCCCTAGTGTTGCGGATGTACTGAGTGAATGGATATCTAAGAACTCCATTTGTTCACTGTTGTAGGTGGAACGCTTAATCCAAGCGCGAGGCTGGGAGTTCATGTGGAATGAGCGACTAGGATACATTCTGACCTGCCCTTCGAACCTTGGCACAGGCTTACGGGCTGGTGTCCACGTTAGGATCCCAAAGCTCAGCAAGGTAATGTTATGAAGCCAACAGCCCTGTTGGGTTCCACCAGGAAAAGTTCAGCTGTGACTTCTTTGTGGAGGGAGAAATCGCCATCATTCCATAACCCTTCCTTACTTTCTGCACCTGTAATAGGAAATAACAAGAAAGGGTTAAGTTTGCCTCAAAAGACACTTGTATTATTTAGGATAAAAGGTTAAGGGCTGTAAGAAAGAGGTATGGCTTCAAGAACAAGAAGTTTAAATTCTCCTTCTCCCTACAAGTCAGGAGGGTCAGGTGGGCTGCTCTGCCCGGCTCCATGGAGTTCCTTCCATCTCTGTCTCTCTCAGTGTAGAGGGTTCTCCCACTTGAGCCTGCATCAAAATTACCTGGAGGCTTGTCAAAACAGACTGCTTGGCCCACCTGCAGAATTTGCATTTTTAACAAATTTCCAGGTGACTTGGGGCTGCTGGTCAGGGAACTGCATGGGGAGGACCACTGTCTTAGGACATGTCCCCTCTCCATGGTCACGGTCAGGCCCCATGTTGCAGCTTGTGGGAAGGGGAGAGAGGATGCAGGTGTGACCATGTGAAGATTTCAAGTCTAGGCCTGGAAGTGTACACATCACTTAATGTTCGTTCCATTTGCAAGAACTTAGCCAGTGGTCACGTTCTCGGCTCTATCTGTGGATGAGGAGGAAAAATTCTGGTAGGCATCCAATACTTTCTGCCACAGCACAAGCAAATCAAATACTTGAAAACCATTTTAGAAAATGTGCTTCGTACCAAAAACAGAATGAAAATTATTCCAATGTTAAGACAATTTGATGTGATTTAACTTCATGATTTTAATTCTATCAGTGAAACTATGATACAGATGAATAATCAACTCACCAAAGCTGGCATCCAAATGCCAAAAATGATATAGAAGTTAGTAACAGCTCTGCTACCTTTTAGCTGTGTGACCCTCACCAGTTCTATTCCTCTGAGCCTCAGTTTCCTCATCTGTGAAATGAGAATGAAAGCAGTACCTACTTCATGAGGTTGCTGTAAGGTTTAAAAGTTCTAGCATAGTGCCCTGGTACACAGTAAGTATATGCTTCATAAGTACTAACAGTTACTGTCTCTCATTACACATCTTACTAAGTCCATGTGCCAGTAATGATGGCGAATCAGTTTTGCTTCTTCTGACACTAAGTACTGTCCCTTGTCCCAGGATCCACGCTTCTCCAAGATCCTGGAAAACCTGAGACTCCAGAAGCGTGGCACGGGTGGTGTGGACACAGCAGCAGTGGCGGATGTGTATGATATTTCCAACACAGACCGCATCGGGCGATCAGAGGTACCATCTCTCTCACTTTCCAAACAGCAGCTAACCCTACTAGCCTACGAGAAAAAGAGAATGGAGAAGCACCCTCAACAGCCTTGCCTTATTCACAAAAGTCGAGACCTCGTCTTTCCCCACTGAGTCCTGAGTCCGGTTAGTGTTTCATTCTGTAGTACTAGCCTCCATGGGAAATAATCGCATGAAAGGAAGCACAAGGTAAGCTGAGAACATGGCAAGTAAAGGAGTTCACGGGGGGACTGTTGTCAGCACCTCGCCCGAGAGGGATTCCAGCAATCATTTCAGCAACGGGAGCTCTCTTATGCCAAAGGACGGCAGAATTTTATCACCATGATGTCAGAGAACGTGTGTGCTCTCTGAGGGTGGTCAAAGAGTGGAATTTTCTCTTGATTCTGAATTTCCTTTGGTGAAAGCCATGCTTCACTTTTAGCATTTTTAGATACTTGATAGTTTATAAAATTTTATGTTTTCAAGCTAAAGATGGCATATAATGTATGCACTAGGTATATAAAAGATTGTGCTCACGAAATAATCTTCAGGATTCTGTGAACACATAGGAGGAACAGCATTCATAAACTATAGGTAGGCCTGGAGTGATGCATGAGACGGAGCATAAAGAGCTCACTTAAGGAACATGCAGCTGAATCCTAAGCCAGTACTGATCCCAGTAAGTCATACCAATTTATCTGGATATGGTCCCATTGAATGTATTATGCCCCTTATTAATTGAAAAGACTCTTTCTCTTATAACGTACAAATCTTAGTAACTCAGTGGCTGGTTATTAAATCTTTGCATTATTGATGCTCTTTCTTCTTCCTTGGTAGCTTTCAAATATTTCACTGCCTATGGGTGTATCCCTACCAATAAACTGAGAAAAGGGAAGGAGGAAACACTCAAATCAGCTTGTGTGCTTCCACCTCTGGTAAAGTACTTGAGGAAGAAGTAGCTCTAAATACAATTTCTGAAATTTACTGAGTAATATGTGGTGTAGTGAATAAAGAAGATCTGGAGCATAAGCCTGTCTGCTTCTCATGTTAACTAGATTTTTAATCCTGGAAAGCAAGGCAGTTAAAAAAAATTTTTTTTAAAGCCTAACTGTAAGTTAATAGGTGACCATTATAAAATCTAGAAAAATGCCAAAAAGTATTAAAAAATAACACTACGTATTTAACTTAACCCTAAGAAAACCATTGTAAACATTCTTTCTGTATTGCCTTCCATTTTTTAAATGATTGTTTTATTATGTAAAACTTACATTTTGTATAGTTTTATTCACATGAACAAATTTATTCATGAGTTCACAGCTCTTATTCAGGAAAACAGTGATTCTCTTTAATGTGTTAGGTCAATCATAAGCTTTGCTCTGGGTGAGGCTGATTTGACAACTCCATGTGCTATGCTATCCTCACCACAAATGTAGATACCATCTGTCACCATAAAGTGCTATTTCAATAACATTGACCATAGTCCCTTTCATCCTTGTCACTTATTCATTCCATAACTGGAAGCCTATACCTCCCATTGCCCTTCACCCATTTTTGCATCTGGCATCCACTAGTTCTCTGTATTTATGGTCTGGTTTCTGTTTTTTGGTTTTTGGACTACACATATAAGTGAAATCATACGATATTTGTCTTTCAGACTTATTTCACATAGAATGCCCTCTGGGTCTATCTATGTTGTCACAAATTGCAACATTTCAATCCTTTTCATGGCTGAGTGATATACATACACACATATATACAATGGAATCTATACATATGTCACATCTTTGTTCATCTATTGATGGATACTTCATCTTGGCTATTTTAAATAATGCTGCAAAAAACGTAGGGGTGGAGGTAACTCTTCAAATTAGTGTTTTTTGTTTTCTTTGGGCAAATACCAGTAATGAAATTACTGGATCGTATGGTAGTTCTGTTTTTAATTTTATGAGGAACTTCCCTGGTATTTTCCACAGTGGCTGTACCAGTTTACATTGCCACCAGCAGCACATGATGGCTCCTTTTCCACTGAATCCTCACCAACATCTGTCACATCTTGTCCTTGTGATACTGGCCATTCTGACAGGTGCACGGTGCTATCTTGTGGTTTTGGTTTGTATTTCCCCGCTGATAGTGATGTGGAGCATCTTCTTAGGTGTCTGGTGGCCATCTGTATGTCTTGTTGAAGAAAATGTCTATTCAGGAGCTTTGCCTATGTTATAATCAGATGATGTGTTGTTTCATTATTTTGGAATAGTCCCAATGGTGTGTTACTGCTTTTGTTTTACAGAGGAGAGCTATCCATAAGTATGTTGCTGAGGCCGGTGTCCAAGGGTTTACTGCCTAGGTTTTCTCTGAGGAGTTTTTTTGGTTCCATGCCTCACATGTAGCTCTTTAATCCATCTTGAGTTCATTTTTGTGGTATAAGAAAGTGGTCCGGTTTCCCCAGCACCATTTACTGAAAAGACGGTCTTTCCCCCATTGTATACTCTTGCTCCCTTGGCTGTCGATTAACTGACGAGAGGATCATGGGTTCATTTCTGAGCTCTCTGTCCTGTTCCATGGATCTCTAGGTCTCTCTTTGTGCTGGTACCATACTGTTTTGATTACTATAGCCTTGCAGTACATCTTGAAATCTGGGCTTGTGATACCTCCAGCTTTGTTCTTCTCTCTCAAGGTTGCCTTGGCTGTTCGAGGTCTTTTTTGGTTTCATGGAAATTCCAAAATTCTAGTTTGGTGGAAAATGCTAGTGCTGTTTTGATAGGGATTGCACTGAATCTGTAGATTGCTTTGAGCAGTATGGACATTCCAACGATCTTCATTCTTCCAGTCCATGGGCATGGTATATTTTTCCATTTGTTTGTGTCATCTTCAAATTTCTTTCATCAGTGACTTCTAGTTCTCAGAGGATAGGTCTTTCACCTCCTTGGTTAAATTTATTCCTAGGCGTTGTTTTCTTTTTGGTGCACTTGTAAGTGGAATTGTTTTACTATCTCTCTCTGCTTCTCTCTGCTTCCTTGTTACTATATAAAAATGCAACAGATTTCTGTATGTTGGTATTGTATCCTGCAACTTCACTGAGTTCATGTATTCTGATACTTCCTGTTTTTTATGGGTTTTTTTTCGATGGGAACTTTTGGGTTTTGTATGTATAGTATCATGTCATCTGCAATAGTGACAGTTTTACTTCCTCCTTACCAATTTGGATGTTTTTTTCTCTTGTTTGATTGTTGTAGCTAAGACTTCCACTACTATGTTGAATAAAAGTGTTTAGTTCAGTTCTTTTTCTGAGGTTTTATCCTACTCTTTTGTTTGGAGCATATTCCTCTGTCTCCTGATTTTGTTGACTTTGTCTTTTTCTGTGAATTGGGCAGAACAGCTACTTCTCCTGAACTTGAAAGAATGGTCTTAGGTATGGTTGTCCCATGTGTAGACTTTGTGTACCTGGTGACGGGATGGCTGCACCTATAGCTCGGGGGGGGGGGGGGGGCGGTCCCTGGGCCCTTGGTGCTGGGACTGCCCCGGGGCTCTCCAAGCAGAAGGCATGCCTTTCATTTTAACAATTATTCAAAAACCTCTTTAAAAAAATTTATTTATTTATTTATTTGACAGAGAGACAGCAAGAGAGGGAACACAAGCAGGGGGAGTGGGAGAGGGAGAAGCAAGCGTCCTGCTGAGCAGGGAGCCCAATGCGGGGCTCGATCCCAGAACCCCGGGATCATGACCTGAGCCGAAGGCAGACGCTTAATGACTGAGCCACCCAGGCACCCAAATACCTCTTTTTAAAAACAAAATATAATCATATATTTTTCCAATGT